ATCACTTCTAATTGCTCTGGCCAGGGGTTGAAACAAACAAAAGAAATTAAAGGGATATGGATAGGTAAAGAAGAACTCAAATTAGCACTCTTTGCAGATTATATGATTCTATACCTAGAAGACGCAAAAAGTTCCACCAGAAAACTTCTAGAACTAGTACTTGAATTCTTCAAAGTAGCAGGATATAAAATCAACACCCATAAATCAAAGGCATTTCTTATATCAGTGACAAATCCTCTCTGAAAGGAAAATGAGGAAAACTACTCCATTTACAATAGCCTCAACAACAACAACAACAACAACAACAACAACATAGGAAACAACAAAAGAGGTGAAAGACCTCTACAATGAAAACTACAGAACACTAAAGAAAGAAATTAAAGAAGACCTTAGAAGATGGAAAGATCTACCTTGTTCTTGGATAGGCAAAAATAATATTGTCAAAATGACTATACTACCAAAAGCACTATACAGATTTAATGCAATTCCCATCAAAATCCCAATGACATTCTTCATAGAAATAGAAAAAGAGGTCATGAAATTCATCTGGAAAAATAAGAGACTCAGAATACCTAAAGCAATCCTTAGCAAGAAGAGTAAACTAGGTGGCATCACTATACCAGACCTTAAACTATATTACAGAGCAGTAGTTAAAAAAAAAACCAGCATGGTATTGGTACCAAAATAGACTGGTAGACCAATGGCACGCCAGAATACAAACCCATAAAAATACAGTTATCTTATATTAGACAAAGACACCAAACATATACATTGGAGAAAAGATAGCCTCTTCAACAAATGGTGCTGGGAAAACTGGAAATCCATATGCAACAAAATGAAATTAAGCCCCTATCACTCACCATGTACAAAACTCAACTCAAAGTGGATCTAGGAATTAAACCAGAGACACTGTGTCTAATAGAAGAAAAAGTAGGCCCAAATCTCTATTGTGTCAGATTAGGCCCCAACTTCCTTAATAAGACTCCTATATCACAAGAATTAAAATGAAGAATCAATAAATGGGATGGATTCAAACTAAAAAGATTCTTTTCAGCCAAAGAAACAATCAGTGAGGTGAATAGAGAGCCTACATTTTGGGAGCAAATTTTAACCACACGCACATCAGATAGAGCACTAATCTCTAGGATATATAAAGAACTCAAAAATCTTAACACCAAAAAACCAAATATCCCAATAAGTAAATGGGTCAAGGAATTGAAGAGACACTTCTCAGAAGATGATATACAATCAATCAACAAATATATAAAAAAGTGTTCAACATCTCTAGCAATTAGAAGAATGCAAATCAAAACTACTCTAAGATTTCATCTCACTCCAATCAGAATGGCAGCTATTAAGAATACAAACAACAGTAAGTGTTGGCAAGGATGTGGGGGGAAAAGGCTCATACATTACTGGTGGGATTGCAAGTTGGTGCAACCAATCTGCAGTATGGAGATTCCTTGGAAAGCTGGGAATGGAACCACCACTTGACCCAGATATTCCACTCTTCAGTCTATACCCAAAGTACTTAAAAACAGCACACTACAGGGACACAGCCACATCAATGTTTATAGCAGCACAACTCACAGTAGCTAAACTGTGGAATCAACCTAGATGCTCTTCAGTAGATGACTGGATAAAGAAAATGTGGTATATATACACAATGGAATACTTTTCACCATTAAAAGAGAATAAAATCATGGCATTTGGAGGTAAATGGATGGAGTTGAAGAATATAATGCTAAGTGAAGTTAGCCAATCCCCCCAAAAGCAAATGCCGAATGTTTTCTCTGATTTAAGGATGCTGGTTCATAATGGTGTTGGGTGGGGAAAGCATGTGAGGAATAGAAAAACTCTAGATAGAGCAAAGGGGAGGGAGGGGAAGGTAGGGGACAGGAGGGTAGGAAAGATGGCAGAATGAGTTGGACATCATTATTCTAAGTACCTGTATGGGGACATGAACAGTGTGACTCTACTTTGTGTACAACCTCCAATATGAAAAATTGTGCTTTGTATATGTAATATAAATTGTAATGCATTATGCTGTCATAGGTAAAAAATTAGAATTAAAAAATCCCTCATTTCTTTGTCATGCAAAGACCCCATGTGTTTGAGTGACTCTTTACAACAGTGGTCCTTCATGGGGTAACTTGGCAATCTGGGTTCTTTTGATCCTGTAGTTCTGCAACCTCAATTCAAGACTTTCTTGGCTCTTGCAGTGGGGAAAGGGAATAGTATGGGTCTCTTCAGTTCTTCAGCACTGAGAGTAACTCATGTTGTTTCTGTTCATGTTTCATTGGCCAGAATTAGTTACGTGGTCCCACCTAACTGCAAGTGTACTGGGAAATAAGATTTTCCATGTTGTGTCAGGAATAAAAAACTGGATATTAGATAGACTGGCTATGTCTATCATTCCCTGAAATTGATTTTTTTGAGCAAAGGATTTATCACAGAGCTCAAAATTATTCAAAAATGGGACTTGACACTCATGTACATTTATAACCAGTAAAATTGGATTATTGGCCACTTAAGGATAATTGGCAGTTCAAGGATTACTCGAGAATTGCTCTAAAGAAAGTACATTCTATGCCAGATGTGACATAGCCAAGTATATTTTCATAATGTCATCTTACTTATGCTCTTCAGCTTTCTTCAGAAAATTTGTTCTTTGCTATTTTGTCTCAGTTTCCTACTTTGGCAATGACTGCTTAAAAAGAGTAGGAGATTTTTGTTATTCTTCAATCTGCTATGGTAGACTTGCAATGCTACCCTGAATTCAGACTGAATCATGAAAAATAGTAACAAACAATTCAGTTGAATTCTCTATATATTTGTATATATTTAGCCTCTATTGTTTTTAACTTACAAGAGTAATTACATAGAGTTCATCCTTAGAGTTAGTAGTAGGTATAAAAATAAGTAGAATATTGGCTTTTCCCTTATTTTACCCATTTTCTTAAGGGGTAAACCCTATTTTAGTTATAACCTAAAATATATTATTATGCGAACCCTAATATAGGTGTTCTAGTGGGAACTCTGAGTTCATTTCAAGTAAGAAATTTTGTACATAGAATTTTGTGTGGTAAGGTTTAATTGTTTTACACAGTCTCTTCAACCATGACCAAACGGTTCACAATGTGAACAATAGTTGATTTTAATAAATTATTTAACAAGTTTATCATCTACTGCTTCCTCAGAGCATAGGGTTATGCTTTTGGTCATTTACTCATTACACATTTTTAACTGAATAGCACATGGTAATGAAAAATACATGTGCTTTATTCTGTGTGTGTATTGTTAGGGATTAAACCCAGGACCTGTACCCCTATCTCTATTCTTTTTTCCTCCTCAGCTTTATTGAGGTATAGCTGACAAACATTGTATATATTTAGAAATACAATGTGATGATGTGGTATACATCATGAAATGATGATTACCACATCAAGCTAATTAACACATCCATCACCTCACAGTTACTTTTTTAATGAGAACACTTAAGGTCTATTCTCTTAGGGAATTTCAAGTATACATTACAGTATTATTTAGTCAACATACTGTATATTAGAACATCCAAATTTATCCATCTTATACCTGGTAGTTTATACCTTTAAGCCAACATTTCCCCAATTCTCTCACTCCCCCATTTATTTGGCAACTGCTGTTCTACTCTTTTCTTTTGTAAGTTTACCTTTTTATTTTTAGATTCTGCATATAAGTGAGATTATACAATACTTTTTTTTTCTGTGTCTGGCTGACATGAGTCAACATAATATCTTCTAGGTTACCCCAGGTTGTAGCAAAAGACAAGATTTCCCTTTTTATGGCTATAAATGTGATATACATTTTTCATTCATCTGTTTATGGACAATTAGGTTGTTGCCATATCTTGGATACTGTGAATAATGCTGCAATGAACATGGAAATGTGGATATCTCTTTGAGATACTGAACTAGTTTCCTTTGGAAATAATCAGAACTGAGATTGTTGGACCATATGGTAGTTTTATTTTTAATGTTTTGAAGAATCTTCATTCTGTTTTCCATAATGGCTGCACCAATTTACATTCTTGCCCTAAATGACAAGTCCTATTTTATACACCCTAACCAAACTCTTATTATTGCTTGTCTTCTTGATAATTAGCTATCCTAACACACGGGAGTTAATTTCTCATTGTGGTTTTGATTTACATTTCTCTGATCATTTCACAAGGTGTTGGTGTTACCTTTATACCAAAGTAATACAAGGAGCCTATAATAAAATAAAATTATATGTAAATTTCCCTGATGAACGGGGATATAAAAATTCTCAACAAAATATTAGCAAACTGAATTCAACTGCACATTAGCAGGATTATATATCATGATAAAGTGGAATTTAACTCTGAGATGCAAGGATAGTTCAACATATGCAAGTCAATAAATGTGATACATTATGTTAACAAGATGTAAAACAGAAAAGAATTAGGTAAAATTCAACATGCTTTCATGATATAAACTCCCTACAAGTTGGGTACAGAAGGAATGTAACTGAAGATAACAAAGATCATATATGCTAAACTCTCAGCAAATATCATCTTCAACCATGAAAAACTGAAAGATTTTTCCCCTAAGATCAAGAATAAGAGAGTGCCACTTTTGTCATGTCTACTGAATACAGCACTCCTGAGTAATTAGGCAAGAAGAAGTAAGAGGCATCAGAATTGGGGAAAATAGAAAGTAAAATTGTCTTTGTTTATAGATAAGTGATCTTATATAAAATTCAGATCTTATATAGAAAACTCTAAAGATTTCATTAAAAAACTGTTAGAACTGTACATGAATTCTTTAAATTTGCAGGATACAAAATCAATTAAAAAATCAGTCATATATACCAATAATAAACTATCTGAAAAATAGATATTCAAACAACAAACAGAACAAACAAAAAGCAATTTCATTTACAATAGCATCAGACAATATAAAATACTCAGGAATAAGTTTAACCAAGAAGGTAAAAGAGTGCTCACCTCAGTAGCACATATAGTAAAATTTGAATGATACAGAGATGATTAGCATGGCCCCTGAGCAAAAATTACACTCAAATTTGTGAAGTGTTCTATATTTTTTCCCATACTCTTGGGTAGGCAAAATTAATATTGTCAAAATGGCCATACTACCCAAAGTGCTGTATAGATTCAATGTGATTCTAATTAAAATTAATTCTAATGTCATTCCTTATAGAAATAGAAAAAGTAATCATGAAGTTTATTTGGAAAAATAAGAGAACCAGAGCCAAAAACATACATTCGAGAAAAGATAGTCTCTTCAACAAATGGTACTTGGAAAACTGGAAATCCATATGCAACAAAATGAAATTAAGCCCCTATCTCTCACCATGCACAAACTCAACTCAAAGTGGATCAAGGATCTAGGAATTAGACCAGAGACCCTGTGCCTAATAGAGAAAAAATTAGGCCCAAATGTTCATTATGTCATATTAGGGCCTGACTTCCTTAACAAAATTCCTAAAGCACAAGAAATAAAGTAAAAAAATTAATAAATGGAATGGATTCAAACTAAAAGATTCTTCTCAGCCAAAGAAACAGTCAATGATGTGAAGAGAGAGCTTACATTTGGGGAGCAAATTTTTGCTACAAACACATCAGACAGAGCACTGATCTCCAGGATATATAAAGAACTCAAAAATATTAACACCAAAAAACAAACAACCCAATCAATAAATGAGCTAAGGAACTGAATAGATACTTCTCAGAAGATGATATACCATTGATCAACGAATATATGAAAAAATGTTCAACATCTCTAGTAATTAGAGAAATGCAAATCAAAAGTACTGTAAAGATTCATCTCATGCCAGTCAGAATGGCAGTTATCAAGAAGATAGACAACAGTAAGTGTTGGCGAGGATGTGGGGAAAAAGGCACACTCATACATTGCTGGTGAGACTGCACATTGATGCAACCAATCTGGAAAGCAGTATGAAGATTCCTTAGAAAAGCTAGAATGGAACCACAATTTGATCCAGCTATCCCACTCCTAGGTCTATACCCAAAGGACTTAAAATCGGCTATAGGAACTTAGCCACATCAATGTTTATAGAAGCTCAATTCACAATATCTAAACTGTGGGACCAATCTTGATGACCTTCAATAGATGAATGGATAGAGAAACTGTGGTATATACACACAATTGAATATTACTCAGCATTAAAAGAGAATAAAATTATGATATTCGCAGGTAAATGGATGAAGTTGGAGAATCTCATGCTAAGTGAAGTAAGCTAATCTCAAAAAACCAAAACCAAACACCAAATGTTTTCTCCGATAAGTGGATAATGATCCCTAATGGGGGAGGTCATGGGAAAAATGGAAGAACTTTGGGCAAAGGAGAGGGAGAGGAGGAAAGGGGGGATGGGGGCAGAAAAGATGGTAGAATGTGATAGACATCATTACGCTAGGTACATGTATTACTGCACATACATAGCCATCGTGTACAACCGGAGAAATGAAAAGTTGTGCTGCAATAACATACAATGAATCAATATGAATTATGCTGTCATAAAAACCTAATTAAAATTAATTAATTAGTTAATTAATTAGAATTTGTTTTCTTCCCAGAGCAAGTTCCCTGTAAAGCTCTACAAAAAAAAAAAAAAAAGAATAGATTAAAGACCTGTATAACCAAAAACTGTTACATTGATTACATTGGTAAATGGAAGAGGACAAAAGTCTCTGTTCATGGATTGGAAGAATCAATATTATTAAAATGCCCATAGTGTCTCACATGATCAATAAATTCAATGCAATTCTTATTAAAAATCCCAATGGCACTTTTCACAGAAATAGAAAAAAAAACACTCCTACAATTTACATGGATCTTAAGAGATTCTGAATTAATCAAAGCAATTTGAGAAAGAAGAATGAAGTTGGAATACTTCCTGATTTCAAACTATAGTAAAAAGCTATAATAATCGAAACATATTCCTGACATCAAAATAGACATACCAATCAATGGAACAAAATAGAAAGCCCAGAAATAAACCCATGAATATATGGTCAATTCATCTTCAACAAGGTTGCCAAGAAAACAAAATGAAAAAAGGACAGCCCCTTCAATGAGTGGTTTTGGGAAAACTGGATATCGTTATAAAGAAAAAAATAAAAGTGGAACTTTATTTTGAACCATGTACAAAATTTAACTTGAAACAGATTAAAGATTTACATAAAGACTTTTATGAAGCTATAAAACTCTTGGAAGATAACATAAGATAAAAGCTTTTTGATGTTGCTCTTGGGAATGATTTTTTTCTTTTTTCTTTTTTTTTTTGGATATGACAGGTAACAAAAGCAAAATAAACAAGTGGGACTATAGTAAACTAAAAACCTTCTGCACAGCAAAGGAAACAATTAGCAGAATGAAAAATAAGTCTGCAGAATGAGAGAAAATATTTGTAAACTATATAGCTGACAAGTGATTATTATACAACTCAATAGCAAAACACACAAATGAACAAACCAAAAAATACCACCTGACTTAAAAAGGAGGCAAAAGAACTGAAAAGAAATTTTTCTAAGCAAGACTTATAAAATGGCCACAAGAGAAATAAAAAGGTGCTCCATATCACTATTCCTCAGGGAATTTCATGTAGTACTATGTACCTCAGAAGGCCTGGGTATACAGAACTCTGAAAAACTGAGGTGTTATGTCCACCTAGATTTTTATATAATAAAAATAAGCTAAGAAACCCTGAACATTTCTTAAATCTAGGCATTATGTAACAGTTATGCTTTATTATTTTATAATTAAAAACAATCAAAAGAAACAAAACAATCTAAAAGATAAGCATTTTGAAGCCATATTCATAGAGTATACCACACAGTGTCTTGACTTGATGAGCCCTCAAGAAGTTCTGATGTGTAAATAGAAAGTGAGTTTTAAAAAAATGTTGTTATTGGTGCATTATAAATAATAGTGGCATTTATTGGGATTCATTTGTATATGTACATACAATTTGATCAGTTTCATCTCCCCTTTCTCTCTCCTTCTCCTCCCCTTCATCCCCTGTGAAAATAGATTTTGAAATGGAACACAACGCATTGTTTTGCGTTAAAGACTAGTTGTGTGAAATCCTTATATTTTCAAGGTAGTTAATTTGTTTCCTGGTGTAAATATTTAAACTTTTATAATTTCATAAAGCAATTTTAAAAGCAATAAGTATTTGGTCTCTTAAGTTTCATATATTTCAGCCTCAGATAATAAAACAAGAAAACATTTCTAATTTGTAAGCTATCCTTATTAGGTTAGGCATATTTTCTAAAAGACTCATAGATTCTTTATATTTCCTGAGAGAGTATGGCTTCATATTAATTTTATGCACATAATCCTTATGAATATATACTGATTGGACTATAGCAAATGGAAAATAATAAAGGAAACAATGACTATCAGATTTCATATATTTGCTTTTCTACAAAAATCAATTAATAAATGGATGAGATGTAATGTGGTACTATCAAAGCCTTGCGGTTAAATTTACTTTTAATCATTTTTCTTTATTATCTTTTGGCAGCTGGAAAATCTTTGATTAATCTTTGTGAAAAGAAATTAAACTTTAAACCTTATACACTAAAAAGAAAAAGCAGCTAAGGTACACAATGAATAAGATTATTAAGTCTAAAATTAATCAGTCAACACTAGCAAATTCAGTTAGAAAACTATGCTGATAATTATATAATACTTATATTATGCTCCCACTTTGATTTACTCCATTTGCTAATTTCACAGTAATAATGCTTCATTACATTTTTGATAGCCTGTAATTCCTTTTGCAAATATTTCAATTTGCACTTGTTGTATATTTTTGGTTTTAAGACAGAATTTTAAAATGAAATGCAAACTTGAGTTTGGAGAAATAATCATCTGAATATAAAAAGCCTGATGACTTTCAAAATAAACAAATTCATCCTCACTCTTAAAACACAGTTACATAGAATGAAATTGTCAGGGTTCCATTTCTGGCAGTATCACCTATTAATTGTAAACATTTGTGTTCTTATTTACCTTTCTAAATCTCAGTTTTCTTATTTTTAAAATGGGGATAATTAAAGCTTATATCTCAAAATACTCTTGTGGACATTAAAGAGGTGATCTACCTTAATGCATTTAGTGTAAGGCCAGCAAATGGCACATGGTTCAATAAGTCCTAGCTATTATTTTTGTTGACATGGCAGAGACTTTTTAGGAACAGTTGATTGTTGGGTTCCTTTGAAGATTATGTAGACATAAATATGTTCATGTTGATTATATGAGGCATGATGAAATAAATAGTAAATACATTAAGGGATGTTTCCAACAATTATGGTTTATTGGTAGCATTTATAACACTAATATAAAATACTGCTTATAATAATGAAGATCCCCATGAACAAATCATATTTGTAATAATGAGTATAATTACAATGGATTAATAGCATAATTAGAATTGTGATGACTATTTAAAAAGTGAGTTAGAAAATATTAACATTATGTATGTGTTAATATAGATTGTTTATGCCAATATGGAATTGTGAGTGTATGAAAGTTATGAGATAGCAATCAAGAAACTTTTATTGCCTGAAAAGAACACTGCATGTAGGGAAAATTTCCCCCAACCAGAGAAATGATCATGCCTGAGAACAAAAAAAGCATCTTTGTAAATAAAATACCCAGCATTACTGAAGGATAAGTCAAAAGAGGGCAGGATATCCCACTGGGAGTCAACCTTCTGGTATTCTTCCGTATCATGCAGAGTAGTGGACTATTAACATTTGACAAAGAATCTGTTGAAGTAACAGCAGAGATAATTTGCATGCAATGCAGGGTATGCCACAGAATTACATTATATACAAACGGAAACCATGAAAACACAACTCAGCTATCCTGTTTTTTGGAACCACAATTGAAATATGGAGGACTCTTCATGCTTCCTCTCCTCTGTGTGTTTTCTCTGGATACATTAATTATGAAGTGATCATATATGAAGAAAAATAAAGATGCAGGAATGAGCAATTTCTCTTAGGGATGAAATGTTGAGATTAATAATGGGCAAAGGGCAAAAAATCAGAAA